TCTAGGGAGATGTATTAGGCCTACGTCAGGTAGATAAACCCAAAAGGTGCAACAGTGTTATGTGACAAAAACATCTGATATTTAGTATATCCACATATATGTGACCCTGGACCACAAAACCAGACCAGTCATAAGTGTCAATTTTTCCGAAATTGAGATTTTAAAAAGCTGAATAAATAAGCTTTCCATTGATGTATGGTTTGTTAGGATAGGACAATATTTGGCCGAGATACAACTATTTGAAAATCAGGAATCTGAGGGTACAAAAAAAATCAAAATATTGAGAAAATCGCCTTTAAAATTGTCCAAATGAAGTTCTTAGCAATGCATATTACCAATCAAAAATTAAGTTTTAATTTATTTACGGTAGGAAATTTACAAAATATCTTAATGGAACATGAAGAAAAATCGATCATTTTGACCGATACAATGTATTTTTGGCTATTGCTACAAATATACCCCAGCGACTTAAGAGTTTTGTGGTCCAGGGTCACATATATAAAAGAGAATCTTAAGATTACATTTTAGAGTCTCATTGGTTTCAGTGAAGCATTGAGTTCATAAATAACACCATTCATCAGTTTATGGCCTACAGGTCAGACTTCACAGAATCGGTTAAATTTTACACCAGTAAATACACTCGATTCTCAATCTAAGTCAAACCTGTGACATTTAGACTTACTGCCATTTCTTTAATTGAATGTAACTTACCTAAGCACAAGGCCACGAATTCAAACTGCAGAGTTGATCTGATGTCCTCAGTGAAAAATGGTCTAAAAACAATCTCAGCTTACAGCGATCAAACAGCAGCATGTTGAAAACACCGCCCTTTATTGCACACATTACAAAGCTCCTTCTAAATCATTTTTTTTTTTGCCATGAATAAGTCCTCTTCACACGTTTTCATACACAATATAAAAACTATATGAAGTGTTATAATTTCAAATAAATATTTAAAACATTAATATATACAATATAGTATATAACGTATATTTGTAAATATGTGTGTATATATATATATATATATATATAAACATTTATATTTATAATGTTATAATACATGTATATTTATAATTAAAATATATTAATTATAAATAATATTTAACACAATTATATATAATAATAAAACCACCTTTGGTAGGTTTTGGAAACAAAGGTGGTGCTGACAACTGTTTCGGGAAACCAGGAAAGCTTGAAATCTTTGCACAAACCTGAGTTTTGTGGGACATTTAAGCAACAAGGTCTCTTTAAAAATCCAAAGAAAACACTCTTGCTCTTAAGCATTTTATTCATTAGGTTTTACTGCTAACAGTTCATTGAGAAAAGGGCTACAGCTCTCCACACATACGCTACTGGACCAAATGCTTTTATAAACCACAAACAATTTATGAATTATTAAAATAATTATTTAATGACTTGGATGCTGGTGATTGTGACCCTTTAGGAAACATTCCCTGAGGACATTTTTGCTTGAGAAACCTTCCCTTTATTAATATAATATTAAGGCTTTGTTCATTGCTCTTCAAAATGAAGATGAATACAACTTCAGTCAGTCAACATATAATGCATGTTTTCCATTCTGAAGCTCCACTCAGTGGGATAAAGATGGTCTAAAAAAAAAAAAAAACACTTTTTATTTGTGCAGTTGCAATGCATTTCAAATTAGTGAAAAATTTAGGATTAGGACCCAAAAAACAAAACAAAACATGAATACACAATGTGCTTGGGTTGTTTACAAAACATTTCCCCACAGAAAATATTGCATAAATAAAAAGAAAAACAAATTTCACTTATCCTAAATATCTCATACAGTGAGGACAAGGCCTTTAGTCTCCACGGCAACAACACCCAAGCAGTTCCTACAAGGGCAGACTAGTTTGTTAGTACTTCCGTCCACTTAAATGCTCTGAAAGCAAGCAGCGCAGCCCTTGCAGACACCATCTCTCCATGCCTCTGCAGGTCAAACGACCTTCAAAAACTCCACATGACCCACTACATATGAAGTCTGATGGCTGAATGAAGGAGCAGAGCTGAGATCAGATACACTAGAGAATTTTGGGCATGACGGACATTCATTTGCACTGACATGCCAAAACAAAATACCTCCAATGGTGGCAGTAAATGCATCGATTCCTGAGGCTCATGAGGTTATTACTGGATTTTAAAAAGAAAAAGCAATGTTTAGAGCCTAATTAAGGGGGGAAAAAATGGACTAAATATTTCCAGTTATCGGGTTTTGTAACAGAAAAAGTTGTGCTTTAACTCTACAGAGATCTAACTCCCAATTACATCCAGTTCTAGAGAGAGCAGCGTTTTTTCCAAAAAAAAAACAAAAAGGAAACACCAGTAGCACCATTAAACTGCGTGAACAGTGAGGCAGACAAGGCATGGCAGCACGCGCTTGGGTAGATTTCTACAGCGACAAAGATGAAAGTGCAGGAGCGGAGTGAAGGACGGACTGCCTCGTGCACATTTACCTGTTAGACTGCGTGGAAGTGTGTGTGTGTGTGAACTGTAAATGTGTATGGACCTCTGAGAAATGCATCTGTTTGAGTGTGTGTGAGAAACTGTGAGGGTGTTCACACACCAGATTTAATCGTGTTAGTCCGTGAACCAGACCAAGGTAGTAATTCATTAAACTGGTTAAAAAAGAACACAACACAAAATAATATCAGCAAAGTTAGTAAAATTCTTACTAAGAATGTTTATTAAAATAAATGCCAAGGAGGTTAAGAAGAAAAAAAATAACAGCATACACCATAAAAACTAAATGCAAGCATGTAAAAATACCTATGACAAGAACTAATAAGTTGCTAATGAGTTAAACAAGCTAAAGAATTAGCAAGAAAACAAAATAACTGTAGGAAAAGGCAACGCTCCCAATGAGAGACAGATCTGAGTAAAGAGTGGGCTGAGAGGGAGGGCGGAGGAGGAGAGAGGACATGAAAAAAATAAAGATGTAGTGGGTTTCATCAGAAAAAAAAATACTTGTACATAGAAAATGAAGTTAGAAAAATACATTAGAAACCTGTAACAATGGCTGTAATTGACATTATTACACATGTAGTAGGCAGGCGGAAGAGAACACGAGATTTCTCCATACACCTGATAGACTAAACCCAACTCTAAAACATTAACAGCATGTAGTAACATGGCAGAGGGGATTCGTTTAATACTGTCCATTTCTCTGTAGTCGGTCTTTGCTCCTCTCTAATATTGCATTTCATTATTTCAATATGTTTAAAAAAACATGTATTTAACACTGAGAAGAGGAAAAAAAAGACATTGACCTTTTTTTTGTAACAAAAGTGAACAAGACTACATTAGAGACTGCCAGGGTTACAGGACACAAAGTTGTAATCTTATTCAATGTGATGAACGCCTCCGGTTGTTTCAACGACTGAAAACTGCTCGGGGCGGATCTGATCTTTAGCATGTGATTTGATACTCTGCCTCTTCTGTGACTGTTCGGGTTTGGCACTGATGTGGCAGCAGATGAATATCCCAGTGACCTTCCTCTCAGTAATACTTTGAGTAAATGCTATATTTTCCCTCTCCACACATTACTTGCTTCTTTCAGATCAGTGCACTGTAAAGCTACATCTATCCTTTGTGAAACACCAAAAAGGCTTTCCCAAAGTAAGCGGAATACGTTTTCCTTCTTCCCTTCTATCTTCCAGTCTTTTAAAACAAAAAGCAAAAACACTTCCTTGGCATAAAATAGAGTATGTTTTGGCAAATATGATTGAAAGCTTCCAGTTTGCAAATCTTGAAACAAGAGGAGGTTTCAGGTGAAGTCCAATTCATTTGAAATCTCCCTTCTAAAACACCTGGCAGACTTCCACATCATGATTGGCAGTTCTTGACAAAAATCACAGTAACCAAATACATAGACAGCATTGCTGATTTTGTCCTCATAATATAAGAATAATAAAAAGAAAATAAACACTTTGTTCAAATGGGGATTAAAGGAAAAACAACAAGACTTCAACTCAATTTTGGGAAGACGAATCATGGCACATTGTTAGCTGGTCAAATGACTGCTATTCCTTTGCATAGAATAGATTCAGTGGCACAACACTGCAACAGCCTTGTGGTTTAACTCTTGGGGTGCTTCCTCTTCACAAACCCTCCCTCGCTCTGCACTATCCTAGTTGGTGCTGGATATTATTGAACAGAAAGTAACACTCGGAAAAAGAAACGACCATCAGTAACTAAGGCACTTATCTCTCTAACTGTACTCTTCTCCTCTCACGTCATGCAATTCCTCTAACATTCCAAGGTTTGACTATTTTGGTCTGTTTTTTTTCCCCCTGGCCAATAGTATCCAAAGTCACGCAATATTTTTTTACCACCTTTCGCTGTACTATTCTACAAACGTTTTTATAGTTTTTTTGTATTATGTTTAATATTTTTTAACTGCAAGTTAAGTATAAAAAGCTAAAATTGCCAAAAATATATATGGCATAGTTCAGTAAACTGATTCCGGTTCATATCCCAGCTGTCCAACCCTGAATATCCTGAAGACTCTAAAAACACTTCACCCCAATCTCTTGCCCTGCCTGACTCTGCCTACTGCCCCCTACTGAGCTGGCAAAGATTCTGCAATGAGCAGTACGTATAAACCTGCAAGTATTGCCAAACGCTAATAAGATACATGGAAACATAAGAAACAAAATAGGGAGAAGTAACAGAAAGAAATCAAAACAAGCTTTGTGCAGTCTGTCATTGTAGCCATGCTCTAAGTCAGCTGGACAGGCACACCCAGAATGTGTCAGCACAGTAAAACTCATCAACTGAAAAACACAGTCAGAGAAGGACAGGAAATACACAAGTTGGTGTGAGTGCAGATTTCTTTCCTTCTTTTTCTTTTGCTGATTTATAGTGATAATTTAAATAGGTGTGGGGTAGCGTATAGACATAATCTGGATGCTGATGCCCCGTTTAGCGTTATGACTGATTAAACTAGGGTCACCAAGCTTTCTATTTCTTTCTCTCTCTTTTTTTTACATTTATTTTGAGCATAAATGCATTTAAGGGCTGAATTAGCAGAAGACGCTTCTTTATTGCTTTTAAACTTCAGTGCAGATTTTCGGGTAACGCAACATCACTGTTAACATTTACCCAGTCATTTGAGATTTAAAAAGAATAAGAAAGAAACAATAATAATAAAAAATAATAAAGAGTATCATCGTTGTTATCACTACACAACTTGTTGGTATGGAGGGTTGTTTTGTTTTGTGTTGGTTTATGTTAGGATCACTGCTTGGACAGGTGCCTCTCTCTCTGCATCCACCAGGCTAGCAAAAGGCAATTACCAGTTAATCTGATCAGCAGGCAGGCTCGGGCGGCTCATCATTGGGTGAAGAGTTCAGAGTTCAGAGGTCATTTGTTAGTTGCCGGTGGCGGCTAGGTGGTTAGGAACAAAAATGAAAACAACAAAAAGGAAAAAAAAAAGGTAGAAAAGATATTAGTTAGCAAGAAGAGACTGGAATGACATCATTTTAACAGCAAAATGAATGCAATCTTTGTTTAACCCCCTAATTCCATGGCCAAGAGACAAACACAGGCTAAACCTGGTTATGATCATGACACAATAACGTCATGATCAGTTCAATCAGAACGTTATTACATGTAATTAAAGCGCTAAAATGCCCCATGTTCCCACAAACAAAAGCAGAGAGATATAACACGTAGACAAACGAGAAAAACATACAAACAAAAGCTAGTAACATTTTAGTGTCTTGAGTCGAAATGCATGTTACGAACAGTGTAATTAGTTGTGAGGGGGAATCAGAGAGCTAGTGCTACGTTACGCAAATAAACAGATAAAGGTCGCGAAATATCGCTTTGGATTATTTTTCTTTATTTTTCAGTGAACGTATACACAAGATTCAAAAATACATCTGCTATAAAAATAGTACCTTCAGTATAACTAAAATATAACTGGGTGTGAAATACATTTTTACATTTAAAGAGATGAACAAACAAAATCCGATGAGCTTAACCTGAGATTTAAAAAAGTATATATATTGAGGTAATGGCTTAAGCACAAAAGCCAATGGCTTTGCTGGCAATGGAAGCTTATTCCAGTCCCTTTGTATTTTAAAATGATTTACACAAATAAAAAAAGCAACACACAAAAATTCCAATCTATTTTTTTGGGATCTAGACGTAGTTAAGAAATGCACTGATTTATATAAAGCTATGAAACAAATGGCATTTAATTCAGTTACAGTCTCAAATTTCTGCAAACCTGAGTGTTTCCAGAGGCATTTCATATGTAAACACATTTCCACAGTAAAGATACGCAGTGTATAAACACATGTATGATCCCCCGTTCAGAGATAAAGAAACACAAAGAATTTAAAAAAAGGTAGAAGTACCTTATCTAACTAACCTCTGTCTGTGGTCACTATCCTTTGGTAAGGATGGACCCGTGAATCATGTCTCCGCACTTTAGTAGCCATTGCACCTAGATTACAACAGGTCCATAAGGTTAGACAAGGTTCAGCCCAGGAGAAAAACATACATGTAAAACCTGTGGACCACAGCTAGACCACATAATGCCGCAGCAGAACTCTAGAAACCAGAAAAATACAGAGCACATCTGATTTTGACCTTTTATTTAAGAGATCCATTCAAAATGAATCTCAATTTGAACCGGCTAGCTGTGAAACAGGCTTTACATGAAATCTCATCTATATTTAAATTTATGCATATAATGTTTCTACATATAATACATATTCACAATATCAACACACAGAGTAGAAAATTAATAAAAAAAATAAATGTAGTAGAGTAATAAATGCATACAAAAAACCCAGAATTTAATAAATGTATAACTTACAACTTAAAATTACATAGTAATTCACAAGATACTAAGATTTGAGACGGGTGGGCAAGGAATTATGGGTAAAAAAAACAAAACAAAAAACAAACAAACACACACACACACACACTAAACAAAGGTATGTTTTAAGGAAAAAAAATTACTACAGTGGAAGCAGTGTCATATGATAGCAAATTGTAATCAAGTTTTGACACCGTGATTACTGTACGACAGCACCTGGCTCATGCTAGCTAAATTTCAGCAAACAGTCTAAAATACAAACGTTCTCTGCTCACAAGAATTCATGTGAAATAAGTGGAAAAACTAGAATAGACTGCACATTCTAAGCATTTTGACAATAAAATTAATTAACTTACATTTTCTCCTTGGTCAATCTCAAATGTAACACACAGAACAAATAGATTTGAAATAACTGTTGATGGCGGACTAGTTATTGGTTCCATAGTGAAGGTCTATTCAACACCAAGAGCAAAATTCCTCTATAAATTGTATGCATACGCACACATGAATAAAGATTTTATTTCTTTGTACCAACAGTACACCTTGGTTATTATACGGTGCTATATTCCTATGTCAAAGCATTAATTTCAATAGAACTTTCACTATCAGTTGTATTATCATTATCATCATGTTTACAATGCAACCCAAATAATAAAACAGATTTCACTGGTAAGTGAATGTGGTGTGGAATTTTAAGGTTATTTTGCTTTGAAGGTTATATTTAGGGCTGGGTTTTGACACAAATTTCACAATTCAATTCGAATTCACAAGCTTGTGATTCGATTCGATTCAATATTGATTATTTTGGATATATATCAGGCAGAAACACAAAGAATTTAAAAAAAGGTAGAAGTACCTTATCTAACTAACCTCTGTCTGTGGTCACTATCCTTTGGTAAGGATGGACCCGTGAATCATGTCTCCGCACTTTAGTAGCCATTGCACCTAGATTACAACAGGTCCATAAGGTTAGACAAGGTTCAGCCCAGGAGAAAAACATACATGTAAAACCTGTGGACCACAGCTAGACCACATAATGCCGCAGCAGAACTCTAGAAACCAGAAAAATACAGAGCACATCTGATTTTGACCTTTTATTTAAGAGATCCATTCAAAATGAATCTCAATTTGAACCGGCTAGCTGTGAAACAGGCTTTACATGAAATCTCATCTATATTTAAATTTATGCATATAATGTTTCTACATATAATACATATTCACAATATCAACACACAGAGTAGAAAATTAATAAAAAAAATAAATGTAGTAGAGTAATAAATGCATACAAAAAACCCAGAATTTAATAAATGTATAACTTACAACTTAAAATTACATAGTAATTCACAAGATACTAAGATTTGAGACGGGTGGGCAAGGAATTATGGGTAAAAAAAACAAAACAAAAAACAAACAAACACACACACACACACACTAAACAAAGGTATGTTTTAAGGAAAAAAAATTACTACAGTGGAAGCAGTGTCATATGATAGCAAATTGTAATCAAGTTTTGACACCGTGATTACTGTACGACAGCACCTGGCTCATGCTAGCTAAATTTCAGCAAACAGTCTAAAATACAAACGTTCTCTGCTCACAAGAATTCATGTGAAATAAGTGGAAAAACTAGAATAGACTGCACATTCTAAGCATTTTGACAATAAAATTAATTAACTTACATTTTCTCCTTGGTCAATCTCAAATGTAACACACAGAACAAATAGATTTGAAATAACTGTTGATGGCGGACTAGTTATTGGTTCCATAGTGAAGGTCTATTCAACACCAAGAGCAAAATTCCTCTATAAATTGTATGCATACGCACACATGAATAAAGATTTTATTTCTTTGTACCAACAGTACACCTTGGTTATTATACGGTGCTATATTCCTATGTCAAAGCATTAATTTCAATAGAACTTTCACTATCAGTTGTATTATCATTATCATCATGTTTACAATGCAACCCAAATAATAAAACAGATTTCACTGGTAAGTGAATGTGGTGTGGAATTTTAAGGTTATTTTGCTTTGAAGGTTATATTTAGGGCTGGGTTTTGACACAAATTTCACAATTCAATTCGAATTCACAAGCTTGTGATTCGATTCGATTCAATATTGATTATTTTGGATATATATCAGGCACACATGCCAAATTTTCTCAAGAAAAAAAAAATTATCTTAACCAATGCTGTAAAATATACACGAGTCAGTTGGTACTACATTACTATAATATTGAAGGTTAAAACTAACTGATTTTTTAAGCTATACAACTGCTTAAATTACACTTAATGAAGTTTTTATAATAAGAGTTACAATTACATAATATTTCTACTTCAATTCGATTTTGTAACATTTAAATGGTGGCTGTAATAAAAAATATAACAAACATTGAAGAAAAGTAAAAATGATAATAAATTTATATGGTGCATATATTTAGCAAAATGCCCCTCTCTACAGTTTAATTTTCTAGCTGACTAATGAGATTATGGTCACCAAATATGTTTTTTTCTGAGGTAAATGTGACGTTACGTGACATTGTTTACAAGCCGTTATATTGACGTCTTTGAGCAGCTGAAACACTTATTGAGCGATTATATGAGACAGGATACGGATTATAAAGTTGTACTCTTTCTTTTAACTTGCCTTAGGATGTTTAGTCATGTTAATTTTGCGCTGAAACTGGTATTAATGCAGAGGAGATGATCAGTTCACGTGCGCCTCGTGCTGCCGCATCTGTTGATCGAGGTGCTACAGCGATCTATCACTCCACATTAAACAGCGCCAAAACGGCATTTATTGTTTTAATTTTGCAATACAACGGACAGAATTTGAAATCTGAGACTTTGTTTCATATTAATAGGACCAAAGCACAATGCTTATTGCGATATATTGGATGGGAGGTGCCCTTCAATGTTCCGTCCATTAACTGAAAACAGGACTAATCGATTCTTGGGATTTAAGAATCGATATAGTTTCGTAAAAATGAGAATCGATTAAAATCGAGATATCGATATTTTTTTACCCAGCCCTAGTTATATTGCTTTAAAGTGAAAGAAATGTGATGGGTTGCACTTTGCATTAAAGTAAGAGAATTTTGTATATAAACAAAATTGATGTAACATTAAAGTATGTGAATTGCCAGAGTTACATTTTGTTTCGCTCTTGGCATGCAGACCTTGAGACGGATTGGTGAAGGAATATATATTTTAGTCTCCCAATCAACAAAAGATTTCAAACTATACAAAATACAATACAAAAACTAACAAAATATTAATTGGCATTCCAAAAAAAGTTATTTTAAATATTGAATATTTTTATGAGTAAGTTCAGAGAAGAATCTGTGGACGTGGCACATATTTTGTGCCCATTATTTTTTCATTATTTTTTTGGGGGGCAAATCTATTCTAATCTAATCCATTTAAAGGGGTTGATCTTCTTTATGCACCAAGAGCTTGTAACACTTCAAAGAGAAAGGAAAAATTGAAATCGCATCATATGACCCCTTTAAGCACAAATGAGGGAAAATTAGTTAAACACAACTGAAAGTTGTTACTGGTAGCTGAACCAAATTATTTAAACACCTAAGAAGGTGGGGCTGTGCTACACTGTTTAACAATGACATTTAAATTCTGCATGACTCTGCAGAGCTCCATGTGGGCCTGCCAAGGTGTGACGACTATACCAAATCACATAATGACATCACAGAATAGTTGCGAAGCACAAATGTTTTTACTCTCCTCTGGAGAAATTCTGGAAGTGCTAATGGTTCCCTCTAACTGTGCGCGCGTATACACCCACATGCTATGCTGAAACACAGCAGATGTCCAACAAATCACTTCTGATTGCACTGATGCCCAGCGAGCAAGCGAAAGGGAGAGAGTGAGAGAGAACATGGTCTGGTCTGGAGGAGGTTTGATGTTGGATCGATACTGTAAGTAAATAAAAAGCTGCTAAGCTTGTGAGCGTTTAAGTTTAAAAGTGGAAACGCGGCACTGTCAGAACAGCAGAAGACCCAAACATGCCAACTGTACAGCATCCAGTGAACTGAACTCAGAAATCCCTCCATCGAATCAAAGACGAGCACTAACCAAAGCTATTCAAGCGCAGTATTCGACTGCTGGTACACATGACTTCATGCTATTGATCGCCATCTCTACTTGATTTCTAAATGTTTACATTGGTTTGATGAAAAGTGTCGAGTCTGTAAAAGAAGATGTCGTGGTTATTATCTATCTTCTTCACGAGTGTTTGCAGAAGCCTCACTAGGCAGGGGAGTATGGGCAATTCTCTCTGAATAGGGTTGAGCACTCAAGTTCACAAGGGTAAAAATAAGACAATTGGATACAGTGAGAATAGTGGAAGAATTTAATGAACATCCCCAATGGGACTCTGGGCTCTTTCTCTCTCAGTGCCGCTCGGCACTGGTACCAAGGCCTGCTACAGCAGGGAAGAGAGAAATTATTTCAAAAGCCAGGGAGCAAAAAAAAAAAAAAACTCAGAGATGAATACACCTCGTTTAAGACACAGATAAGTGTTCCCTTTCCCAACCCGTCTCAGTGGCAAATGTTTTTTCTATGTAGCTATGACTTTAATCACCTGGGTTACCCACCCTGCTAGCACGAGCTAGTCATTATATATTTACCTTTCAGTGAGTCCTGAATTGGGCCGGATGACGACCCATCCAACAAGCCCCTGTAAAACACCCCGACAGTACCCTCTTGTGGGGCACCGAAGAGTGAAGTCCCAAGCCCCCACGCCCGCTTACCTAGGACTCCGCTGTGCTCGATAGGATATTCCAGCAGAGACGTGGGTGCCAAGGCATAAGGGTAGTCGTAGGGCGTGGTGTAGATAATGCCCGCGTCGGGCGTTGTGGGCACCAGGGTAGGGGTGCCATTGGGTAGCATGGTGGCCATCTGAGTGGGCCGAATGATGTTCATGATGGGGGTCCCTGCCGGATTGGGGGGCCTGAGGGCAGCTGGGGGGAGGACCTGACCCGCAGGAGCCGCGATCAGACGCTGACCTTGAGCAGCTGCTGCCGCTGCTGCAAGAGAGAACGCAAGGGTGGCTGCCGTAAACAGAAGAGTGAAAGACAGAAAGAGTGAAAGGAAGAGAACAAGACACAGAGAGAAAAGTAATGGGAGAGATAGAGCGATAGGAGGAGGTTGTGTGTGTGTGAAGGTGTATAAAATTTTCAGAGTAGAAGGGGAATATAGAATTGGACAGAAGGCACAAATACAGATGTGTGAAAAGCACAGGCAGGGAAAGGAAAACAGAAGTACACGAAAAGAGGGAAAAAGAGGGTGGGGGAAAAAATAAAGGAAAATTAGTCCATGCAATGGTCAACGAACCACAAAAAATTACACTCTAAAGCAAACTAAAACCCCACAACCAAAATCATTACAAAAATGAATCAAAACTAAAAAACACAAGGAGGAACTGATGATTGATCATACCAGGGCAAACCGATCATCAATACAGAGGCACTAATACACAACACCGAGTAACTGATTTAAAGCAGCACATCTAAACTCAATGTCCTGCGGCATGTAGAGGAAACAGCACTTCAGTTTGTGTGCTAAAATATGCTCATGTTATTTCTTATGGCTGTAAATCTAAAGTGCACTCTCTAGAATTGATTCCACTAACTTGCCATAAGCTTTCCCACATGAATCAAAAACCTCTACATGCCACTGGGACATTTAGTGCAGATGTGGAGGGGAAATAACCTCAACAGGGCTGAAAATTAAAATGCTTGTGAACATTCTGCACTAAAGCCAAACAAGATGTGTTTCTTCCAAAAAGATGTCCCTGTCATATATACCCAAATATGCATGCACACATTCATAAATCCATACAATCATAAATACAGTCATGCAAATATTACTTTACAGAGCAGTATAAAAGCCCAAAACCCTTCATGTCAATGTGAAAATGCATTGCATTAATGAATATGTATGACACGGGCTGAATCATATGCAAATATGTCTGAGCAATAATACAAGTTTATGACCTAAAGACAACCTAAAACACACAATCATGCAGCAAAATGATTCTGTGTGCCACACCAAGATTACGCAAGCTGTGATTGCAATTGGAACAGCTTTGAAAGGAGGTGGGAGAGAGGAGGGAGAAGGAGAAAAAGAGAGAGGGAGAGACGGAGGGATTAAAGAGAGACAGAAATACTAGACTGTGGGTAGATGATTAGATGTTTTCAAGAGGAGTGTGCAGTGAACAGGATTCTTTCTTGAATTAAAACAAGCACCTTATGTCTGATGAACTCTCATGTGCACAATGTTTTTTTTTTAATTGCTCATTTATGGTCAGAGTAAGTCAGCACAGAAAACAACATCACTGTATGTGTATGTATGTGCATTTACATGTGGATTAAGGATGGATATAAGAGATGGATTATGGCTGGTTGTGATTTGATATTGCGTGTAAGCTCTGCGTCCTAGCAAATATGGGTGTGATTTTGTGTGTGTAAGCATTTAAACCGATCTCTTTAGTCACTATGCAATACAATCACAGCTGAACTCACATTATTCCCTAATAGTTAGTTTTATGACTGCATTGTGGATATGCTGATGTTCAAGTCTATTTATTCTGGAGAGTTTGTTTATATAAAGTTCCCAAGCGTCTAGCTGTTGATGTGTGAATGTGTCTCCTTACGCATTTTGATGTTGGTGTCTCTGTATGTTCCGTTCAGAATGGCCAGCTCCATAAGCTGCATCTTCTTCAGATTATCTTCTCCTTCTGCCTACGGAAAGAAAAAGATCAATCAGAGAGAACTTCATTACTCACACAACCAATCACCAATCAGGATTCATTCTGAAAATGGGGACAATCTGGTTTCAATAATAAAAAAAAGCAGTGAATAAAATAAAATACAATTTAAAAAAGGGAATGCAATTTTAAAAAGTGTGATTCATAAAAAGCAAATAAACTAGTAGAAAAAAATCTCATTAAATTAAATTCTATTAAATGGGACATATGCAAAATTTCTATAAATATAATGAAAATTATTTAAATTAATAAACACAAAGTGCTGGAGTAGAACATATTAATAAATATCTACTCTTAGCAGGAACTAGAAGTCTAGTGCTTCTAGACCTAGAGACGGATGCATATTTTCAATTACTAAGAACGAGTAAAAGAGTAAACCAAACATGAGATCTCTCAAACGCAGAGCAACTTAAAAAAAAAAAAAGCACTAAGGGACTTGTATTTCCAACTGCAGAGAGGAGGAGAGGGGAGAGAGAAAGAGGGAGTAGAAACCAGCTCAATTCAGATTTACACATCAAGCAACAGACACATTGGAGGGCTGGGACACCTTTAACTTTTCATGGTGTTTCAGAGTTTCCTTAGGAGAGCACACATCAAAGAACAAACTACTTTGACAGACACCATATTTGAGTGGTATTGTGAGAGTTGCCTTTAAGGGACTTTGACTGCAGAAATAACACGGTTCTAGATTAGTACAACTCTACATATCCACATGACTCAAAAGCTGAGAGAAACCCCCGAGTAATTTCCTCAATCAGAAAAAATAAAAACTGCACTGAAGCTACAGATGCCTCCGCATGAATGACTCACCCATTCCTGAGCACTTTAGTAATTCAATACAGACACAAAAACATTCTCTTCTAGAAAGCGAAGCTTTTGTTTGAACACTTCACATTTGAGGAGCTTGTGGAGAGCCAATGAAGATTCATCTATGAGCTTGTTACAATAACACCACTCATGTGAAGACAGAACAAAAGAAAATGGGCTCAGGCTAATCAAATGCAGTGCAGAGAGAGGAAAACATTCTTCATTTGTCCATTTAACAATTACTGAGCCTGACTGGTGAAAATCAGATCTGTCCTTCACGAGTATCACCTGGGATTAGTCTTGTGAATTTTGCAAGACCAACTCAGACCCAACTCCCACCCCCCATACACAGTGAGTGTATACACATGACCACATGGAGTTTCCAATGACCGAGCAGCACATCCTTCCTCTGCCTTACAAATGATGATCTCTTCACTCTTATTCTGGTCAGCCGATCTCAGTTTCGGCATAGCTGCTCTAATACTGTCTGAAGTGACAAGGAGTCAGCCACTCAACAAGGGCAAAGATATGTCTTTATATCTTTCCTGCTCAAGCATTTCACTGGCCACACCGATATGTTAAGCTCAAAAAAGGTGAGACTGATTCATGAAATAGTCTGTGGAGGTAGAAATTTGTGTCATTCACTTACCCTCATGTCATTCTAGGATAGTATGACTGACTTGACACATAAAATAAAAGGAGATAACAGGAGATATCTTGGCTACTCTTTTCCATTCAATGTAAATGGGGACTGTCAAGCTCCGAAAAGGACAAAAAACACCTTCAAGTTACCATGAAATCAAAACTGACATTTCTTATTTTAATGAAATACTGCGTTTAATCTAAATGATTTTAACCATGTACGTTAAAAAAGTGCCCCTGTAATCTTTTAATCAAAAACATTAACATGCCCTCGCAACAACAACTGTTCTATGATCGTGTATACAGACACAAGGGCTGGACAATAAGGTTGTCCAATAGGCAGACAAGATCAAGAAAATCAAGTCACACCCTACATTTTTTTTTTCAAGATGATGTTTCACTCAGATATACTTCACAATATGGAAGAAAAGATGATAATTTTTGCTTCAAGCCGTCTTTTAACCTATTAATGTATGCCATCCTGGAAATCTTCCCCTCTGCTGCAAATCTTAAAACGACCGCCAAGAGATTTGGTACATATATATATACAAACAGAGAAATAAAAAAAGAGATGAAAAGAAAGTCACATGCACTGAGTACAATGTGACAGTGAACTAATTCATATCTGAGAGCTTTAGAATAGTTACTTTTTAGATGGAGATTTAGTTACTATATTTGATTAAAAACAGAAAAAAGGAGGAAACAAGAAGCAGAAGAGAATGTGATCACCACATCTATCGTTATATAACCCATTACAACGGGAAAAACAAAACCATTATCCATAATAACTTGTAACAAAACAAAAGCATCAGCTCCTTGTATTAGAGCAGATTAAAGTAGAGGGTCAGTGCAAGGAAGGAAATCAAGGTCTGGGGCAGTTGTGCCTATAAATTCCTCTAAGAGGGTGAGGCAGAGGATAAATGACTCGAAAAAGCCCCAACACACCATAAACTATCACACTCTCATTTCTGCTGAGCAGGACTTTGTGTGGTTGGCACAGCTCTAAATCCAAATAACAACATCTCAGTGGTGGCCATGAAAGCAGATGGAGTCGATTTTCTCTCGTCCCACAAATGAAGACTTTGTTTCTGGCTCATTCTGCAGGGTATTTAATGAGGCTGCAGTGCCTCTGGTCACTAAGAGTAACTTCCCACAGGCCTGCAATGACACTGGGGTTAGTGGAGCACAGACTTCCTTTGAGGGCTGATGACGCTGCTTCTCAGAGTCACCGTAGAGTGGACATTTGTTTGAGGTCAGGCCGGATTTTTTTAATTCTTTCTGTTTTATAACACCTGCTTTCTTTGCTTCTTTCTCCTGGGCTAGAAGCATTCTCAGGATGTTTGTAAAAAAAAATGCATAGATTATACCTAGGCAAGAGAGGGAGGAAGGAAATAAAGGAAGTGCGGCAATTCCAGAGAGCTGTGTGTCATCAGATGGGGGAGGCTCAGGGGAGACGTCCCTCTGATTTAAGCAACAAAAGCTGACACAGAGAGAACGTTTCCACACACACACTCTGGGTGTGAGACATCAGGGAGGGCCGCTCAATAATCCTGCTCTATCCACAGGAATCAGATTCAATCAATGGGGTCTATTTGTAAGGGCAGCAGAGTGAAGCGGCTCTCATTGGCCGTGGGGGAGGACACGGGACGCTAGACTGTGACAGCAGAGCTTGTGAGCACATCAATTGTATTACACGCACAGAAGTACAGCATTTCCTCTCTATAATAAAACGTTTACAGCCATTTCCAAATCCATTTCCTTCTTCAGTAGATCTGTGGGATGGCTGGTGTCAACCAGCACGTGCTTATGTCCAGCAGTGAAACTTGCATTTTTATCTGAAGACATTGGAGAGAAACATTACATACACAGAGCAAAGTCAGCCTTTTTTTTTGTTTAACAAGAGTTAATATCCAAGTCACATATAATTCAAGACAATCTTTTACTAAAAGATAGACCACCAGATAAGAAAAGTGCTTTTAAACTAGAGGAACATTTTTAGAATGTTGAGACAGGAAAAGTAGAGAGAAAGTTCTATTTGACATTATGCATTTTCAGGACTTGTTACAATTACCTTTGTCACTTCCAGCTCTTCACAAGTTCCCTTTACCATATAAATATATTCAACTCCACCCTCGCCACCAAACCAACCATAATCTACATTATTCAGAACCCTTATTGCATTGTTAAAGCTTTAGCATGAACTTCAGCAGTCACCCAGCCAGTGAGGAGAGATTACAGCACATGACAAGCAGTTACACCACCCTTCTCCTGTCAACTGCGACAGCTGGCTTGAGTGTATCTAAACCTGGGCTTGAGAAATTTTGAGTAAAACTCCTAATCATTTCTTTCATTCAGTTGTACCTGGTTTGTGACGTTAATTGAATGGACTTCATTGGGAACCTTCACTGAAAAGTGGCCTGCAAGCAGAGCCATCAATATCCTCAATGTACCATCAGCAAAATAAAATAAAATTAAAATTTAAATGCTGTAATGCTTTAACTTTCATTCTGTAATCAATAATGCCTTATTTGAAAAATATCACACCTCAAAAAGGTCATGAACAAGGATTATCACATAGTAATGGATGGCGTTTAAAATGAGGGGATCAAACACATCTAACAACAAGTACTCTCACAGTGCACCTAATTTCAATGCATCCAAGCAGTTACATCTCTGGGCTGAAAATGCAAAATGTTGCAGGTTTGATCTCTGAGCAGTTTTCCCCTAGGATATGACACACAATGTGTCATGTACATCGCTCCGGATAAAAAAGGTCTGCAAAATGACAACCATATAATATGTAGGCCAGGTTTGAGAGTGATAGCTGTATTTTAAAAGCCGTAACAGATGCACTGGACAAAGGCATCCATACGGGATTACGCTTGATATCGCCAGAGCAGGATGTGAGGACAGAGATTAGAGTGAGTGAACAAACAAAATAAAGCACAACAGAAGATGAGGAGGGAGGAGTGCAAAAACAGAGGAAACATTAATGTGATCCATGATTTCCATTGCTGCAACACATTGTAAATCCTTCAGTTGACTCGCACTCCTCTCTCTCACTTTCTAATTTTCCCTCCCCTCTTCCTCTTTCTCTCTCGCTGCCAGACGATGTTTTGTTCTGCTCCTATGATCCTTTAATGCCACCCAATCGAGCCGAGAATATCTTGAAAGGATTTGGGAAGGCTGATCTGGAGGTTTAAATACTGCCGGATTTGCATCAGATTCTGAGATTTGAGAGTCAAATCTGATCCGCGTGCTCCCTGTGCCGCCTGGGCTGTCAGATCTGGACTGTGACCCAACCTCGCCCACTTTACAACCCCCTTAACCTTGTGTTCGGCGTCAGGGGCAAATGGGAAGAATGAATCAGCTGAGGGAAAAAGGCCTGAATAAATAAACCTTCAAATCCCAATAAAAGCAGCACACTTATGACTGGCCCTTGAACATGCAGTGGGGATTGATGGACCATATTGAGGCTAATTTGAAAACAGAGCTTTCCCAATGGCCAAGCAGAGGTTACTTCAC